GATCAAGGATGTTTGTTGTTAACCTTAAGACTAATGATTTCTGTAGTGAACTTTTACCATGTAGCAAAATATATGTATGAAAAGCATATCTATGTATGTATATATAAATATATGATTTGTATCTATTTAAAATAGCCTACTAATAGATTTCTTTGGGGTCACAAGGCATTTGACTTACAAAATTAAGTGTGCAGTTTTGGGAAGCTGTAGCAAATAAAACTAAGCAAAATAAAAACCCTATTTGGGAAACAGAAAAATAATTTCTATAGTTCTCTGACTTGGTTAAATTGGATTTTCTCATTTTAAGCACCAAAGTTAGCCAGAAACTTGTATTTTGTGAAGTTATCTCCATAACTTCATGAAGTTATCTCCTTGAAGTTACCTGGTGAAAAGCTGAACCTTCCTTAGTATATAAATTCTGTTCAGATATAGTATACTTGAAGGTCAAAGATGATGATTGGCATTGTACCTAGATTTAAAAATAAAACATTGCTGACATGAATAGAAAATCAATAATCCTGATTCTACACAAGTAGCTTTTCTTGTAAAAACCGATGATCAAGTAGCTTATACTTTCATAAAAAATGTTGTTCTTGTATATTTCTCCCTCTGTGGAGATGAGTGATTCATATATTTAATATGTTTTAGGAAGACACTTTTATAAGGCTTAAATGTGCAAATACTATATGCATCATTCAACTTCTGAAAGTGGGAATATATTGTACATTCTCCAGGTAAAATCTAATTGACAGACACATCTCAGTGGCATGGGTATATAATAAATTTTGTCACAATGGGGAGACATTGGGATATAGCCTCATTAAGAAAGAATAAAAGTAGGAACTCATATAAATTTTACTTAGTTATTGAATCTGAAAGACTTAAAATCTAACAGATGTCTAAAACATGGAAATAATCAAATACAGATGAGAGATGTTCTTAGTAGCAAAAGCAATTTCAAAATTTGCATTATTACCCGATGATCATCAAGAATCGTATACAGGTAGTAATGTTGAGACCGCCAATCATATTATATACATTAGGATATAATTATTTTAATGATGGAAATAGGTTAGACATTTATATATGAAATAACTGTCCAAAGTATTATGTCCAAATTAATATTGTTATGTTGACATGATTATTATGACCCTAGTGATCCTTAGTTCCAATAGGTACAGAAATTTGGAAATGATTTGACTAATAGGAAATTTTATAATTATGTAGATATCCTATGAAAACTTATTTTAATGCAATGATGCCCTTGTAGCTCACTATACTCTTCATTATGCAGGAATTTTGTTGAAAATTGGATGCAGTGTCAGTTTTTCTGCATACTATTGAATGTGTGTGTGTGTGTGTGTGTGTATATATATATATATATATATATATATAGTACTTACATAGATTTTTTTAGAAAAATGACAGATTAATTCCATATATATACACACTTATGTATATATAACTTGTGATACTTTACCAAAGAGCATAATATTTCCAAATGCATTTTAAACAATTTCTGAAGTTGCACAGTTTTACTACCTGGAAGACATATGATAGTCATGTTTCTTGTAAGTAAACCCTACACAATAAAGTTATTTAAGTAGCTTCTAGATTTTCCTATACTTCTGTCTCTTCTCACCTACCATTTTGATAGCTTTAGAATTGCATTTTTGCCAAACAGTTAAAAGAAGTATTAGTGCTAACACACAGGGCTTATGGTTGTTGCTAGACTTATTTATTTAGTTATTTATGTGAAGATAGAGGTGCATGTTTATAGCTTACATTGTGGTCATTGTGGTTCATTTCATTAAGCTTCTCATTCTATCTGCTTTCTTGGTCATGGGAAAGAGTAATTTTCTGAGTGATTGTACCATATTGTTCCAAATATAAGGCCACCCAGAATAGAAGGCAACTTCCAACTAGAAACAGCTCAAATATGGAGAAAGGCTGGGGGCCCAGAGCCCGGCGGGTCTTGCAGTGGTGGCAAGAGTGCCGAGGAATAGGACGCTGCCTGCCCACTCTCCCGGTGAGTGAAGACAAGTCAGCTGCCTGCATTTTTCTTGTGCATAACCAGAAACCTTACACTTGGGGGTTGAGAACAAATCTGCACACATGGAAGTAAACGTATGTCTAAAACTTGGGAGGAAGATGGGAATAATTCTTGGGCCTCCTAACTAGTGGTCTTCAGTGTTTTCTTTTCCCTAAATCTGGGTATGAAAGTTAATCACCCCAAACAGGAGAGGGGAACAAGCCTGGCCCTTTAATGACCAGAATATGAAAGGTCATTGACAATGAAAATGAACTATCACCATCAGATATTAGTTTTCTGGGCCAGCCCAGAAAAGTGTTCCTGTACTTTCTAATTAATTGTTGACTGAGAGACAGTCCATACTCAAATATTAGCATTCTGTGTTCATCAATAGCTTTAAAACAACCCAAGCTGAGAACCACATTTCCCATTTTAGTGAGGTTTTCTACCATTTATATTCCTAGTCTCCTGAGTCAGCCAAGTACCATTTAAATAAAAGGTCTTAATTTTATTTAAATAAGCTTTGAGAGACTATTTAACATCATTTAGTAAATTGGCATTCCACTCAGTAGCATTAAGAAAAGAACAATTTTGTGAAAATATATTAGTCAATCGAGAGTACATAGCAACCAAACCTAGAAAATTCTGGAACTATTGGTCTTATTCACCCAAGCACAGAGAAAGCCAACTTTCTATTTTTATTGTACTAAGTGAGATAGAATGAGATTCTATGTTGTTATCATTGTAAAACATTCTATACCTCTTGGTGCTAAACTTTACCAGGCATTTGATTATCTTTGGGTAGAAAGAAAAAAAGAAAAGAAAAAGATATATTAAATATGAACCTTGATCACTAGCCCATGTCTCTTAAGGCTAATTTGAAGTCAAAATTTAATCTTGAAAAGATGCATTTTTTTTCCCCAGGAAAATACTCCAGGAAACACTCCAGGAAAGATCCAATTATAATCCCCCCTCACACACATTTGAAAGGAAACTACTTTAATAAAAGAGTATTTGCTTTGTGTCTGGATAAATGTGACCAGAATAGAACTTTATGTAGATTTAAATAATGCTAAACCAAGATGCCCTGAAAGATAGAACTGTTTTGCTCAAGCAAACTGTCCTGGTATTGAAACACCTACCTTTTGGACAAATGTGGCAAGAAAGTCTTTGAATACCAAGGCTGGCAGAAAATGTTTGAAAGGAAGAACTGTAGAAGGCTAGCAAAGATGTATGCCTGCCACATTCTACTCTGTCAGAAGAGGAACAGCACTGCAATGGCACATCCCAAATGGCAAATGTGTGTATACTCCATCACTCAGAGTGTGTTCCTAACAGTTCCCAGGGGGTGGTACCTGTAGAGGAGAACAGCAGAGAACCAGTGTCATTCAGAGAAGAAGAGCTGTCTCTAGCTCCATAGCTTTGGAACCATTTAATCTCTACCTAGGAAAACACTGTACAAAATTTGAGGTGAGGGAGGTGTGCCCCTTAACTATCTTTAAAAGTCAAATAATTTCCCTTCTATTATTTTGAGTCAAGGACTTTTATGCCTGATTTGATCTGTTTTGTAAATACAGGAAAACAAATTTTATCATTTCACGTTCTGGAAGGGAGGGGAGCTTCATCACTGACAGACCCGTTTCCATCACCTGGTCTTGGTTAAGGCTTAGCTGTGGAGGACAGAAGCTTAAGAAGTCATCTCAGTGCCTTATACCAGCGCTTCCTCTTGCTGTTGGCTAGTGAGGTTGGGGGTGGACTTGACTTGTTTCACAGTTCTGAGCAGGAAAAAGCACATGGCCTCAGTAGGCTTGCTGGAAGGCAAGAGGAGCGACTGAGGACATAGGAAGGACTGAAAGCAACAAGGGAAGGGAGAAAAGTATTCCAAATTGAATAAGTGATGATCATGATTAAGATCAACAGTAGTTATTAATTTCTCTGTCAATAGCATTGGGCACAGATGTCCCACGCCCTGTCATTGTCGTGTGTACAGCTTTCTCCTCCAGTATCTAAACTGTGCACCCTGAATGCTCTCTAAAGATGTTGCAATTGAATGTCCCAAACCACCATAGTTTCTATCTTTATTCATTCTTAGATGATATACCTTCAGTAGGGGATTTAGGAAATTCAGGGATTGAGATTGATAAGATGGCTTAAGGGAGCAGTGGCCATTAGAAAAAGGAAACCAGGCTTAGAAATTTCCCCAGTCCTTTCTTACTTTCTAGGAGAGGAGATACTTACTGATTTTTTTTCCCCTTCACTGATCCATTAGTGTGCAAGAACAGAGCCCTGAGGGAAGTTCCAGCTCCAGTGTAGACGGGTGTGACTCACACAGGTCTAATTATCACCCTTAAGTTCTGATTACTCACCAGCTGCATTGAAGAATCACTAAGTTAAAAATAATGTAATTTGTATAAATGTTGGTTTTTATTTTTTAAAAAGGTTAGAACATGAGAGCATCGTTTCTTTATGAAAACAATTGAATTTGGATAAATCTCTTTTAAAAATGTTCTATTATAGGTCTTTTCCTTAAAGAGGGAAATTATAAGAGACAAATGCAAAATGTGCTGTGTTTGCACTTCCTGAGACATATGGAATATGACATCTGACCTGCTGAGTGAGCATGTTTAACTCAGCTTGGAAAAACTTATGAGTTCCCTGCTCTTGAGTATCTTTAAATTTCAAAACTCATTCTTGAAATGTTGTTAATGGCCATTCCTTGGGGGACATTGCTCTCTTCAGCAAATTGGAGATGACATGAGGACATGTATAGTGATAGCTCTTGGATTTCTTGCTGGTTGAGCAGTAAATGTATTCCAATGAACAAGGTGATGGCATTTTAGGATAACATAGAATAAAAAGTAACAAGATGGCTAATTCTAATCTGGCAGTGCAACTGAATATTGAATGACATCTATGTAGTTATGGACGACTTTTGTTTTAATAACAAAGTTGTTGATTTTCTACTAAGGGTTCTTTTAGGTTGTCATCAGGGGCAGAAGGGAGTAACAGTTCACCCAACTCTCCAGCTAGCTTCAGTGGACATACCACACCTGCTCAGCAGCCTGAACCTGTGGTACATTCTCTTAAGGTAACCAAACGTGTGCACCCATTTATCCAGAACTTCAGTTGTGTCGTGGCTTGTTTGCTGTGGTCTGGTAGTCCTCACAGTCTTCCTTTAACCATAGATACTTCATGTTTTAGAATCTTTGTGGTGTATCTTTTTACTCTTAATTTTTAAGTGTGATTTTTAATTTCTTTAAACTGACAATGGGATTGAATACTTATGGCAGAGTCTCTAAGTTTTTATCATTTTAATTTTAGTAATGTTCATTTCTCTCTGCATTGAAGTTGAAGTCTAATGTGCATGTATATCCATGTGTGTAAAAATATTGTTACAGGTTTTACATGTGCAATATTTTAGCGTAGATACCCTCCAGTGTAGGGTGGACAAAATAAGGAAGACTACCATGTTTTTATTTCTCTATTGAAATTTTGCTACTTGCTAAAAGTGTTCAAAGAAACTTCAGGCTATATTCTATTAAGTCAAACTTGGGTCTTAAAATTTCAGATAATGCTCTTTTGGAGAATATTTAAGTGTATATATTATGTGTTTTATATTTTATACATATATAACAGATTACATATAATCATAAATAATGCTACTTTATTTTTACTTTTTCCCTGAATTCTACTATTCACAAAAATTTGAGCTTTGCTTTTTTGACAAATAAATACAATTAATGATAAACAAGCTCTATAACTAAAATTACTAATAAGTATACACCATATTTACCTGTGATAATTAACTTACAACTGAGAAAAGCAATGAAAATCGTCTTAAATCTGAGACACTTCCAATGTATTAAAACTGTATCCTTCAAACACATCTTTAATTCTGACAAATTTAATCAAAACTTTCTGAACTGTAATGTAGATAGAATGATTCCTTTTCCATATAACATTTTCACACCTTTTGTAAAAGTTGTTGCAGTTTCTGATTGATTATGAGACTTTTTATGCTTTTTATTTTTTATTGGACCACAGTTTCCACAATGTGTATATAACAGATATGTAGAGGAGAACTTCAAAAACACTTAGTTTGTATTTGTGGTGATTAGTGCTAAGTATATTTTGCATTAGCTCATATATAAAGTGAGTTTGCTCTTCCACAACGTAATTGAATGTGAATAAGGGAAGGTAGTTTAGTTAGGATGCTTCAGAAAGGGAGTAACTGAGAGGAATTGTGGGAAGGCACAGTAAAACTTGGGGCAGTGCCCAGCACCTGGTGGATTTTGGTTCACCCACGGATGTGCATTTAGCTCTGTGCAGCAGCATTTGGATGTACTTTACCACAAATTAAGCCCTAGCTATCTGGAGAACACTTTAGAGTGGGAAAATGGTCCAGAGATTAGTTTTAATTTTGTAGCATGAAGTCCAAAAACAGTGCATTGCCCTACTACTCACACATTTGAAAGCCATTTCTGCCTGTTTGTTGCCTTGTTAAATGGCAAGCACTGGTTGGATCCAGTGAGCATAGTAGGTCACTTTATAATCTGCCCCTAATTTTTCAGTGCAGCTGTTAGTGTGGATTCAGAGGACATAAGAACAAGGAAGATTGCCTCAATTTTCTCTCAATTCATTCTTTAATTTCCATGTAAAATTTTATCTCAAGAGAGGGAAATATTATCATAATGCACAAGTGTCCTTGGTCGGCAGATGGGTGAAACTGAGCAACTGAAGCATCATTATTGGATAACTAGAAGCCCCGGAATACAAAATGTGTTTGCATCATGGCTTAACTGTGTCATGAGAACATAAGTATGTACAGACACACTCTGGGTGCACGTTAAAAAGATCTCAGTGTAAAAAACAAAACAAAACAAAAAACCCCACAAAGCAAGACACTGTGTATTTAAAGGTCACTTATCTAATGCTAATTGATATAAGACTTTAGAAAATCATCTTAATTTATTTATTTGATGGATTTCAAAGAAAACTCCAGGCTTTAGTGAACTCTGTTCATGGTTTTAGGAAGTGTAAGTTATTGTGAGAAATTAGCCCATTTGTACTAACATTACAAATTTTTCTGACTTTAAAATTCATGATTGCTATTAATTAGAGCTTCACTTCATTTAGTAGAAATTAACTGATTTGAAGTACACTTCTCTGAGGTCTATTACAAATTGAATTTGTAGGCAAGTGAGCTGGTTCAAGAAGCTCTTTAAAATTTCTATGAATATTCACCGAACACAGTCAATTCTTTCTCCTAAGTAAATAAAGAATATGGAATTAATATGCAGCAAATAGCAGGATATTAAAAAAGTGGTGGGATCTGTACACTAAGTATAGCTAGGAAGTTTGAGTTAATAAGAGCATAGTTGATGGATTATCTTATTTATTCCAGACTGACATCTAGATAGTCTTAGTATATATGATACTAACTAGTATTTATGATACTTAGAACCTTATTATCTATGATACCTTCTTGACATGCAGGTCTCAAATGTTCACTGATACAAATTCTTAGAGGACACTTTTAGTTGTGGCGGTCGGTACTGACCATGGTGACAATAGTTTCACAGCTCAGTGTACATTCTAAGAGCTTCTAGGGAAAGTACTAGTTTCTTATGCTGCTATAAAGCTTCAGTTTGTAAGTCTTTATGCCCCCATAAAATTCATAGTCAAAGTTTCATAGAAAGTATCAACTTGAAATCTTTAGACATTTCAAAGGATTATCACTTAAACCCATTTAGAGAAGTAGAAACATAGGCCTGTGAAGTTATTAAAATGATTTCATCCCTAGATATTTTTGTTATAGTGAAAAATATTTAAAGTGTGCTCAAATATTTCCACTGGAAAAAAGCCAGTGTTTCTCTTTATTTCTGTCAAAGAGCTACTTCCACATTCCTCTCTTAGGCACGGGGAATGTGTCCAGGCGAGAACTGAGAGGTTTTATGAATATGTTCTCAGTCATCTTATCTACAGGCCATGTCTATATATCATTTGGACTTTTAGACACATCATTAATCCTATTCTTCACTATTACAGTGGCCTCAGTTTTTATCAACTGTTGCCAAATGGTTGACGCTTTTAGATTATCTGGGTGACAAATTAAATGCATCTAGTTATTTTAGACGTTACGAATGCAGTGATTAATAATACAGATGATTGCTTTGAATGGCCATTTCTGAAAATCAAGTCAAATTCATTGCAGAATAATCACCTGTTTTAAAATAAGTTTGCAATATACTAATCCACTCTGATATACAGACATGGATGAAACTGAAAGGTTTGACAAATGGAGCTCCTTGATGGTTTTGTCATAACTAACAAATTTTTCTCCATGTGAAATTTGCTCTTCTTTTTCAACAAATCCAGGTCTTGGATGTTCAGGAAACTATAGATCGTCCACAGGGTAAAGAGTATGAACATGACCTTAGTGAGACAGAAAAAGCTATAGTCAGAGAAATGTGCAATGTAAGTTGGATGTGCTTTACTGTGTATTCTGTGTTAGAACCCTCATCATAGCCTAGCTATTGCTTTATAAATGCATTAATTTAAAAGTATTGACCAAATGCCTTTACAGTTTTATATGGAAAAAATCTGATAATCACCCTTGTTGTTTTTTACCTTTGGTACCTCTTATTGTAGGTTTATTAACACAATGATCACATTACAAAATGTTGAGATCAGAGGGCTTAGTAGTAGAGTATTTCCCCAGACTGCTGCAAATAAAAATTATATAAAAATGATCATCCAATTCTGTATTCCAGAACCACCTATCAATATTTATAAGTATTAAATTTATTATCCAAACCATCATAGTACTAAATTTGATAAAATAAATGGATTTCTGCTTCTTATTTTTAAGATTAAAAAAAATCTCTAAAAGCTTATGATAACCTCTTCAGATGTATTTGAAACTATTCTTGGGAAAATATCACCACTTTGCTAGGTAATATTTGCTTAGCTCCTCATACATATATGTGCTTCATGTCATGCAAAGTGTTGTCTACTTTTCAATTGTTGACACAAACTTAGAAATTAGTGAGGTGAGACAGAGATAAACATTAGAGAGAAAATACAAAAATATGAGGTTGGAGAACACCATTAAGAAAACCGATGTTATTTTATTATGTTTATCCAGTGTAATTGTTAATGTCTTGATTTTCTGTCTGGATTTTCTTACTAATCACTGAATAAATTTTAATTTATAAATAACACACACATGTTATAACATTTAATCAGGAATATAATATGTAATGTTTTAAGGAGCCAAATGAAATATTATGGAGGAAACTTTTTCTTAAGTGCCACAAATGACTTAACATTTGTGACTTAGTTGTGATTAAGCATGATTATACTTTGTATTATGCTTTTATCCATATTTTCTATTCTCTATTAGGATGGCAAATTTGCTTAGAAATATCACCAGGCCCAAGTGGCTCATGCCTCTAATTCTAGCTACTCAGGTGGCTGAAATCAGAAGTATCACAATTCAAACCAGCCCAGAAAGAAAATCTATGAGATTCTTATCTCCAATTAGCTACTAGAAAAAGCTGGAAGTACAGCCATAGTTCAAGTGGTAGAGTGCTAGTCTTGAGCACAAAAAGCCCTAGACAGCATCTAGGCTCTGAGTTCAAGCCTTCCCCCACTCTTCCCACCCCACCCCACACACTGTCCTTTAGCTCTAGTTCTACTAGGGCCAAGTATTCTCAGATTCTTCTTCATCTTGTGGAGATAACTTGTTACATAATAAGTCCTGTGGGCATTTTGTCTGTGCTGGGGTGAGAATCTTAGCCTCATACTTGCCTGTGTTGTAGTTGCTTTGTCTTTTGTAATGTTTGCCAAGTTATTTGCTTTCCTGCATATATGTTGTCTGTTTTAAAATGGTCACTAATTCTAGGCGTCATAATTTACCACTGTAGCTTTTTAATTTGGGCTTGAGATTTTCAATTTGAATATTGCCCTTAAATCCATTTACAACTTACAAAGGGCTGTTTTTCAACCATTGACAATGGAATGAGAAGTCGAGTTCAGGCAATAGGAACTGTAAGGGCCCACAGAGGTCATCTTCCAGTGGCCTCCAAGGAGGATTATGTAGAGCTACTGGATCTGATTTCTGTTCAATGTCATTCCTGTTCAATGTCATTCATGTTGAATGTCAAGGTAATTTGGATTTGAAACTCTGGGTAAGATTCCAATACTCACATTTTGTTTTTGAAGGAACTAGATCTGAAGTGAAAGTATTTGCAACAAACAGTAAAATCAGGAGTAGACCCAGATTGTCTTTAAGGAGTAGGTCCTGCCACTTTCTCTAGTATGTTAAATCTGGGAACTTCGGTTTTACTTTCTAGAGAATGAAAAACAATGTGTCTTATAGATAAAGCTATATCCTTTGTGTTCAATGCCTGCATTTCTGTAAAGAAATGCCAGAGTTGTTCTCTATACTTGCTTTCTCCTCTTTCTATCTCATCCTTATGAAAGATTCCAGGATAATAGAAATTCTGTTTCTTTCGTCTCAGAAGAAACAAATTGTAGCACAGGGTCTTTATTAGTTGTGAGTTTATTTTGGTTTGTTTGTTTGCTTGCTTGCTTTAAAAGGCACCATGTGGTGTTGGTATTGTTTTTCCCTACATAAGATATTTTCACAATGCCAAACCTTACTTTCCTTCTTTATATTTACAATTCTCTGGGGTACCTCTTCTAACTCGCCACATTGTCTTTAATCCCTAGAATATGTGCAAATGGAACCCTATTAAGTGTTCTTAAGCACTCATACTTGGAAATTATTTAAAAATCAAGACAGAACACGCAGATTTAAAATATTATTTGTAAAGACTAAAAAATGAAATATTTGTATCGCCATCATAAGTTATAAGACTAACAAACACATATGGTGGCTGAACATTTCTTGCTCATGCCTAAACCGGGAGAAGGGAAATGATTCAAGGCTAGGTAGGGACGAAGTTCATGAGACTCTATCTCACCCAATGATAAAATTGCTATGGCTCTGTATTCTTGTCATCCAAGCTAGATAGAATCTGAAAGAAGAAGGTCATAGTGCAGGCCAGTCTGAACTGAAACACCATGGAAAAATAATGAAAGAAAAAAGGGTTCAAGTGGTAGAGCACCTGCCTAAGAAAATACAAGGTTCTGAGTTCAACACCTTTACCACCAGGTATGGTGAGGAAGAAAACCAACCCACATAGTAAATATTGGGAATTAAAAAACAATTACAAAGCAATTTCATAAATAACTTCCTGGAAACTAGTGAATATTTTAAAGACGTGGCTACTATAGAAGGATCTACATGAATTTATAATAGCATCACAGAATTATAAAGCTTTCTCACTATGTTAGAAGAATATATCAGTCAGAAGATTCAGGGAGAATTTAAGCTGATGGAAGTTTTATCACAGTTTTCAGTATTCTTTCTGGAGATAAGTCGTTGACATCTGTACAGGGTACCGTGTCCTCATCAGGTTGGTTAGTAAGCATTTGGTTGTTTACTGTCTTCTAGAAATAAATACACTGCCTTCTAAAAGATAACAAATTGCTATTTTTGTAGTAACACTCTATTTAAGATTTTTTTTCTTTTTTTTTCCTGGGTAGCTCTTGTAAATTCCTTGATTTTAACTACCCTTGCCTGCTACAAGAGTCTCTTTATACCACATCATAATATCTGGAGAAAGACCCACTTTTTTGCCACATTTGAATAACTGAAGAGAAGTTGCACTTTGGGGTTGTGACAGCAAATGCCTTATGTTTCTGATCCTTGTAAGGTCTTCCAGTCTACCTCATGCTTCCAAACCAGACATCTAGACATCCTGAGCAGAGGTCATTGTCTTAATGAGTTAGAAAGGCAAAGTTCATAGCATCTTTTGGCTTCTTGATTCATTGTTTGTACCTCTACAGTGAATTTATTACGAAATGAGACGTTCTTTCTGGATAGCTTGAGCTGTCCCTTGCTGTATTTTCTTTTCCCAATAATTAAGAAGCCTAATTACAGTTTCCCTTTTGAGTCCAACAGGACATAACTGCCATGTATGTAGTGGTGTCTGCTGACACAGAAACCATAGCGTTCCATTAGCATACAAATGAAGATAAGCAGAACCCTATATTTTTGCACATTACTATGTATGTTATTGGATTTCCCTAGTGAAGGGTTTCCCCTTCTCTGAACAGTAAAAGCAAACTCAAGAATACGCAGAAAACAAACTGGATTCATGTTAATTTTGCAGTTAACACTACTATTTTTTGTTGTGGATTTACCAATTTAACATAATCTTCATAGTGAATTGCTACAGGAGGTTTATGACAGTCCTGTGTGTCACCCATGCATGGATATTTATTGCAGTTAATGTTAGTGTACCAGAGTATTACTGGTGATTTTCCTATGTTCATACTCATATAACTCTTGATCTTCTCTTTTGCTTAACAACCCTAAAAAAAAGCTGTGAACAGTTTGTAATTATATTTATTTCAATGATTCATAAATTTACTCTTATTTTTCCCTAGAGTGGGGTGGTTTTGTTTTGGAAATCTGAGGACATTTCCAGTAATCAGGACTTGTGTGACAACTGAGATCCCTATTTTGCTGAGATATTCAGGGAAATTTACTCATAGCCCTAAGACGTCCAGTTCAGAATGTGTAAGAGAAGACGCTTTTTCATTTTCCTATAAGAATTAGATATTTGATAACTTTTGGTATAGATTTTTGATACAGGAATCAGGATGTCCTTAGTCAAGGGTTCTGCACATTAAAATGATAATTTCTTTTTTTTTTCTTTTTTTGTGGGGGGTCCGGTCATGGGGCCTGAACTCTGGGCCTGGGCGCTGTCCCTCAGCTCTTCAGCTCAAGGCTAGCGCTCTACCACTTGAGCCACAGCGCTACTTCCAGCTTTGTTCTTTTTGCTCATGTGGTGCTGAGGACTCGAACCCAGGGCCTCAGGCATGCAAGGCAAGCGCTCTTCCACAGAGCCACCTTCCCAGCCCTAAAATGACCATTTCTGAGGGTGGGAATTACTGCTAAAGAATTCTCTAAGTACTTGGAGGACACTGAAGGGTGAGGTGACCAGAGTAAATTGGCTCTTCTTGAATTTGGACCTTTGTTGCTAGCACAGTATAGCCATCCCATCTGCAAGGCAGTTCTGGTGTTTCAGAGATGTGTCATCTGTTTACTGTGTGTTTGAACTCATTTATGTGGCTATCCTGTCTCTTGTCTTTACATCCATTTCTGCTCTTCTCCATAGATTCCTCTTGAGACTCAGAATTCTCTTTGTAGAAGAAGACATGTAAGATACTTATTTCTTTTCTTTCTCCTTTCTTTTTAAGGTTGTGTGGAGGAAACTTGGAGATGCTGCAGGTTCGTGTCCTGGAATTAGGCAACATTTGTCAGGCAACCAGTACAAAGGGCCAATGTGAAGATTACTCTTCTTTCAGACATAAGATCACCACTGCCAGAGAAAAAATAAAAGAAGAACGAAAAGTAAAGAGTATATTTCCATAGACCTAGACTCATGGAATGATTGTACATTGCACATATCTCCCCTCTATAACGTCCCCCATCATGCTGATATATTTTGTGTGTCTAACTTCAGTGTTCATAACAGGCAATTCCAAACAGTGTAGATTTGAAAAAATAAATCACCGTTTTAGTAGTCATGTTTTCATTAGCGCTAAAGTGGTTTTAACTCCCCAGATTTAAGATTGCAATTGGGAAACCTGCATGATTGTCAGCATCTCAGAGAGCCTCACTGGCTTTGATTGAATTGACTCATGGCATCTAAAAGTGGGAACCTTTACCATGATGTAAGGAGATTCGAAGAGGCATTTTTCCAGCTTCCTGAGAGTGACAGTTGGGAAACTTCCTCTTTTACCTCTTACACTTCAATAAAGGAAATATTCATTCCTGATGCATACGTAATGAGGATGTGGGAGACTATTTGGTTTCTAGGATTTTGTTTTGACTTTTAAGGTGCTAAATATACCACATAAGTTGTTTTACCAGCTAGAAGGATAGAAAGACTTTGTAAGTGCTCACCAGAGAGTATCACTTATTTCAGCTGAGCAAAATAAGTAGGTGTTTTTTGTTAATCTTGATGATTGCTCAAAAGGTACATCTTGGGGACATGTCAACCTCCATACTCACACAGTATATCAATTTCAACTGAAAAACAAGCAAACATAATTTTCTAAGTGTTTTGAGCTGTGATATCAATTTCTACAACTTAGTTTTTAGACATGCTGTATGTTTAATAAACTTCATGTAAACTTTAAAATATTGCACTGCATTTATGGGGGGAAAAGCTTTGTCTCCTGCAGCTAGCTATCTAACCTAACGCATGCCCTTCATTATTGAGGCTAAAGCTCTTGTTCAGATTGCTTGAGATTTGAAAAAGAGGCGTGCTAGCTTTGCTTAGTTTATTCCTTATTTTTGGTAGAGATATATAATATTAGAATGTGTGTATAAGAAATGCTATGATAGATATTTTGTGTTTCTCTAAATTCAATGATAGTTTCCTGGATGAATGTGCAAGAGGCCTGTTGACAGAATGCTACCTTTCTACTGTAGTTTAAGGTTATAAAAGTAGGGATGCAACAATTCCCATTCTGGGCATATCTTCTAAATCACGGCAAATGATCTTTGTTGTTTCTAAATGGGCTCATTACAATGTATAATGGTCATTAGTGGCAAAACCTGAAGGAATTTTGTAGTACTTAAAAGGAAAAAGTTTAACTGTGATGAAAGACTAGCCCTCTATTTTCAGAAAAATTTTGTGAATTCATTTACTATAGAATTATCTCTTTCTGTATCACAATTGGGTTAGAGTTTAAGCCTTTCTTTTAAGATGTTATATTTTTAAATATTATTATTGTGTAAAAGAAAATTGCTTGCTATATTTACACCTTTGGTCACAGAAGAGCTTTCATCCTGAATTTGTTGCATTCTTCCACCATGAAGACATTTGAAACAAGTTTTTTGTGTGTGCGGCAGAGCCTGAAGAAGCTAATTGGAGGAACCCACGTCTTTTGAGAAAATACTTGTGTAAATTTTGATACTGTATTAAAACTATTTTTTTAAAGTTCCACCTAAAACTGAGTATTAAGTATACGTGTTCATCTTAGCAATGGTAATAAATTATTTAATCTCAAGTGGTTTTGTTTTTTGTCTTCTTTCAGATCTTTTCTCTTTGTTGAATAGGTTTCTATTTCTCATTAAATATTATCATGCCTTCATGTGATGCTGTCAATGGTGATAGAGACGATCCCGTATCTTAAATATAAAGAGGGTATGCTTTTAAGTATTCTTGTAAATAGTGGCTTAATATTCAGAGATATCTTTTAGCATTTTTTTTTGGTTGTTCATGGGGCTTGAACTCTGGGCTTGGGTGCTGTCCCTGCGCTCTTCAGCTCAAGGCGAGTGCTCTACCGCTTGAGCCACAGCACCATTTCCTATATTCAGAGATGTCTTAATTTACACTATTCTCTATCTTCATGTAGTTAAAAATTAAGATGATTATTTAGTGATATTTAAGAATATTTTTAAGTTAGTTTATGTTGTGCAATCTTCTTTTATCTGTTTAATTCACATAAACTTAAGTTTCATTCACTAAGAAAATTATTTATGAAACGTACACATTATTGATTACCTGAGTAATAGACAATATGACCAAAGCATAAACAGGAAAACACACACCCTGGTTCTCCTTGGAAATCATTAATAAGTTTCTGAAATAAAGATTCCTACATTTAGCATTAGCCTCAACTTTAAGTGACAGATACATTGATCAAAATGACTGGCACCATTGTCTTAGGTGACTTGCATAAGTTTATGATCTTATCTTTATGATTAATCTTTCATGGGACAAAGGTTAATTTACATCTCTTGACAGTGTTTTTTTTTTAAGCTCTGAAGCTGATAGACTGACAATCACAATCAAGCTTTTAATGAGTGCCTTTCATGTTTTTAGCACATGCTTAAGGCATTGTAGAAAATTCAGATCATCTCATGTTACATTCAGTGAAACACTGACAGTCTAATTGGGATGATTGTTCCTTAGCTCAATGAACATTCAATGAAAGCCTACCACTGCCATCTGGGTAAACCCGGTGTTGATTCCTGACACAATGTGCTGACTACCTCAGACACATATGAAAGAATTGTGTCTTGGATGTCAGGGAGCACTTTTTATATCCTTGATATCTAGATAAGATTGTATTGGATAGCCATTCGCTTGATCAAAGTGAGCCTAATGATTTCCACTCATGCTCAGAATTTGCCCTCTACAATAAGCTTCTTGATGTCTGTTATCTCTTTGCTTCAGTGGTAAACTTATCTACATTAGAATGTTGGCATTTATTTCTGGAAAAGATATATTCCCAATAGGCTCAAGATGCTTCTATAGAAAATTCATATATTGGTTTCTGGAGAATCAAATGAACTTGCCAATATTTGACCATCTTTGAAAAATAAGAACATTAATTTCATATGGATCAACCACCAGACCATGAAGAGATTGGGGGTGAGGCAGAGAATGGGAATTAATAAATAATAACTCAGAGAAATGAGGCTCATTACCTTGAGTTCTATTGAAGTCTGGTGACAGGAGATGCATTGAAGAGTGTTTAGACAGGCAAACATTAGCTCTGTCAGCATTTGACTGTAAAATCATTCTATATGTATGAACAACTTCACTGAGTCTGTCTTTTCTCATACCAAATGGAAATAGCATCTATTTTACCGAGGAATAATAGCAAGTTTACCAGAAAAGAGCCATATTGGCTGGTTGAAAAAAAAATCAGTGCTGAAGGACCTATCTACTGCCATATAAAGAAATTGTAAGTTCCAAATGAGGAAATTCTAAGTACATAAATACATACTATTATGATCTGTTCTATATGCATCATCCAGCCTATCAACCTTGTCATGTCTAATTACAGATGGTGACTGTGTGAATGGAGAAAGGAGGGACGTTAGTCTGAGTCTCATACACGAACAGCATGTTTTTGAAAAACAGTATTTCCACCACTATTTAGTGCTTTATTTTCTCATATCCCTGAGAGGATAAAGACTTAAATTTCATAATATCAGGTTGAGTACTAGTTACAGCTCCTTGCCTCCAAACAAAAATGATTTTAAGGATATTTTAATATATACTCCCACTAGACCATAAGAATGACCAACTATGAATTCTTGAGAGAAAGAACAAGCATATCTGGATGACAAATGAATCTATAATTCAGTGTACATTTTGGAGGGGGGTAGTAATACAGGAAGATGGCAGCCACAAACCAAAGAGAGTTTGAAACATGTACAATGAGACCATGAGTTACTGACCATCACCAGTCATGCTGGCACCATCACATAACTATGTGCTCCCTGGGTCAGACAGAGAAAAATACAGATTTTTTTCTTCCAGGCCAAAATTGAAAGTGAGAAGATTTGAGTTGGAGAAGCGAACGTAATACCCAGAACTTGTAACACATAGGTAGAAAGATCTTTTGTACCCAGATTGTTAGCTACAGATACATCCTCCCCACAAGTTTGTCCCATTGTTTTCTTTACAATTTAAAGAGGTTTAATGTCTCACAAGCTCAGTTCTGTTTCTCCAACAAGTTGAGACTAATCATAAACCAAACGTAGGATAATACAAACATTTCAGAACTAGCATGAATAGAAAACCCAAAATGAACACACCACTGGAAGGAAGGCATGACTCTGAACCAAAAGCCCAAAATTGAACAAAGAAGATGTGCCAAGGAAAAGAATTTAGGTGGGCTGCAGAAGTATATACAATGATTTCAGTAAGATGACACATTTACACTCATTAAACTGACATGCTCATGCCTGTAATTCTAGCTATTGGAGAGATTCAGAATGGAAAGGTCATGGATTGAAGCCAGCCAAAGCAGAAAAGTTTGTGAGACCACTTCTCAATCCTTAGCTTGGCACAGTGGCATTCACCTGTGGTCCCAAAGTACATGGGAAGCTAGGATTGGGATCATTGCCAGGCTAAGAAGGTAGACACAGAAGTCTGCACCTATCATCTCGGTGTTAAGGAAGTCTTAAAGTAGGTGGGTGGATGGTGACTTGGATGCTTATGTGAATGGGAAATGTGATTCTATCCTAAAATTAAACTGGAAAAATGACTGAAGGTGTGGCTCATTCGCACTGTGCCAGTGCAAGTTATTGAGTTTAAACTTCTAGTAATACACCATTTCTCCAAAAACGATTCCAAATTATACTAAAGAGCTGTATTAACAAAACAGCTTGGTACTGGTTGAATCCAGACACATAGAATAGAATAGAACAGAATAAAATAGAATATCTAAAACACATACAGACTTGGTTTTTGAAAGACAAGTGAAACTTGGATAAAAGACTTCCTCTTTAACAAATGGCCCTGTGATGATTGGATATCCACATACAAAAGAATAAAACTAGATCTCCATCTCTAATGCTATATAAAATTAATGCAAAATGGATCAAAGATCTTAATGTAAGACCTGAAAAATGGAAACTTGATGAATATACCTGGAGAAAAGTTCAGGATATAGTGATAGGTATTGACATTCTGGGTAGGCTTCTAATAATTTAGGAAATAATATCAAGAACCCACAAATGGGACTGAATCAATTAACAAAACAAAAACCACCACTATACAGCAAAGAAAACAATTACCACAGTGAAGAGATACCAAACAGAATGGAGAAAATGTCTTTGCATCTGTTCTTCTGACAAGTGTTAATAGGCAGAATAACAAAAAAAAAATATGAGCAACCAAGGAAAAGTATTCCAACCAATAAATGGACAAATGAACTGGAAAAAAGGCTCTCAAAAGTACAAATTTCTAGTAAATGCATGAAAAAATGTTCCACATCTTTAGTCATCAGGGAAAGAGAAATGAGAACTGTGTGGTGATCCCATCCTACTCTGTCAGAATGGCTATCATTAACAAAATATGTGATTAATAAAATGTGGTGATGATGCAGAGAAAAAGAAACACACTTTTGGGGGTGGGGACAGGAAGATATAAATAAGTTCAATCACTTATAGAAATAAGTTTTCTCAACAAACTAAAACAAAAACTACAGTTGGAACCTTACAATAATACCATTCCAGCACATATCCCCCAAAGAATCAAAGTCTGCATACAATAAGAGTTACTTGCATTGCTGTGTTCATTGTGACATTGTTTACAATTTCATAATGGCCAAGTTATGGAACCAGCATAGAGTTCCCATCATTGGATGAATATATAAATAAAATTTGGTATACATACTAGAAAATTTCACAGAACTAATAATAATAGATCCAGCATTCCACTCCTGGATATAGATGGACATATACCAAGGGAAATGAAACCTTCAAACATATGTTTCTTACAGTGCTGTTCTCAAGAACTACTATATCATAATAGCCTAGGTACCTATGAAGAGATGAATGGATTTTTTAAATGTGTAAACATACATGGTGGCATAGTTTTCAGCTGTAAAGAGTGAAATCCCTCTTTTTCAGCAAAAACAATGGAACTGGGGGAAAATGTGTGAAGTGAAATAAAGCTAGACCAAGAAGACAAGTATTAAATGTTCTTTATTTCACTTATAGAAGACAAAGAAAACAAAAGTAATCTGAAAGAATCATCAATACTGGACACTGAGAAGGGGCTGTGTTAGCTAGGGCATTGTATACATGTATGGCAGATGCTGCCCTGAGCTCCATTAATACATAGGACTAACACATGGGAATGAGAACTGTTCCTCTTACACAATGAAAGTGAAATGTTCATGTACACAAACTCAAAACCCTAGCTATATAGCAGAAATTACCCAAATGAAGAGCCAATCCATGAGCTTCATGCCAAGAAATTTGGTCAGAATGCAGCTAAAGATTTTAAGTCTGAAAGTTTAGGGAAGTGTTAGTCTCGTCCCAATTTCCACAGTGTTTTCTTTTATTCTCTACCCTTCCCTTTGTCTTTCTCTTTCAAAGTTTTTTAACTTGCCCTATTTTAAAACATCAGTTCCAACGTTGGGGCTACTGCCTATTTAAATAAAATCTCATTTCTTGAGATTCATGTATAGTCTTCTAAAACATTAGTTTTGTCTTCACTTTGTATCTCTTCATTTTGG